CATTTCTTGTTATTAAAGTACTTATCTATATCTACAGTCCGACTTCGAATTAATGCCTCTACTCTTTCCCTCTTTTTTGAGCTCCAGATGCCTATTTAAGAGCCATGGTATTTGACTCAAGTCACTCAACAGCTAACACTTACTAAACTGTAAAATTAGTACAAGAATTACATCAATCAACTCTCCTGTAATTTCACAAAATGTTAATAAATTAGATTTAATGAAATGCGTGCAATAACTTAAGTTTAGAAGATTATTTTATAGCAGTCAGCAATATATACTTATAAAAGGGACATGAAAGAGTAACATATACAGCTAGAGGACAATTAATATGGTAATTCAAAATCAATTAATGGCATTAGCAAATCCAAACGATTTTCACTATTGAAATACTACAATCTTTCAAACTAGGATATTGGATCAGCAAGATAAGTTGTCTTGGCTACTCAAGAGAATATTATTGTATACAGCATATTCTAAAAAAAGAGAAAACTAGTAATTTATAAACTCTCTGCAATTCAAATTTCAAACAAAGCTTCATTTGCTACCCACTGCCCAGTTCAATACATGAATAAACATCCTGGAATCTAGGAATCAAATTGATATCAGTGATTCAATGTAATTTCAACACAAAGCTAAACGTCGAAATCCATGGAATTCAATATCAAAATTTAGTGCTTTTCTTTTCTCCTCAAACAAAACAGAGATTGTAATTTTTTGAATAAGTAAAATTAATTAGAACCAAATTGTTTAATCTCAAGCCAATGCATATTTCAGCCCTCAGGCTACTACAATTCAAATAAAAAAACATGCCGAAAAATGGAGGATGCTTTGGGAAAATCCATATCAATCTCCCAATACATGATCAATTTGAGAAAAATACCGTTGTCAACGAAGAACAAATTGAGAGGTTAATTGTTGATGGTGATGACGGCCACCACATCAGCTCTGAGTGTCCGACCTCCACTATCGTTCTTTGGTCTTGATTTTTGCCCTTTCGATTTCTCGGGATTTTGCCGTTTTTATTTTTGCCCTTTTGAAGGTTTAGTTCGTTTTTTTTTTTAAATAAAAAATAAAATTTTGGGCCCCCTAAAAAGCAGGGCCTGAAGTATAGGCCTCCTCTCCTCAAGTCCGACCTTGGTCTTTTATGCTAGTACGTCGCTTCTACATCACAGCTTCATCAAGTTACCTGTTTTTCAAAGCCTTGTCCTCAATGATAGGACCTCACCTCTGCTATATATCGCTTAAATAGCTACTCCACAAGGTATCAAAATTACTTCTACACTTTAAATCTACGTATTATATAAATAATTATGCCTGTACTTAGTGGACTATTATGTTGTGTTCAAGTGCACAACTAAACAGATAACCACCTAACAAAAGGATGGTAAAATGCTTCAGGCCAGAGCATCACTTCGACAATGGATCACCCTGTAACTTTATAATCTGCTGAACCCAAAAAGTCCATACATTATACGAATATCCACACATGACTTGAGGACTATTTGTTACGTCTCTTCTATGAAGTCTCCAAGTCACGACCACGTAGCAGTTAGCTAGCAAGATCAATCAGGCTTGCACTCCACATTATTGTTATACCTAGTCAAGGTGAGGTCTCCGTCGAGGTACCGTGTGAGGCCAACCCCTCTTAGGCAATTAAGCTCTTTGTTGGTAGAAAATGCTACCCACTTCACCTCTTCTAAGACACCTTTCGTACAAGATTTTTCTAAGATTGATTTATATGGCATCTCTGTAGCAGATACCTAAAACGATCAACCTGTTAGTCTACTTTTCAAATATCAGACCTAAGTTCTAGGGTGACTACTTTTTTGAAACGTTAAATGTCACTCAACTTATGATTGTGAGAGTGACACCTAAGAAAAGATACATTGGCCATCAAATGAGTTCATGCATATTTTCGTCCAACGATGATAATTCCTCATATTCTATTATAAAAGCTCACACTTATTTGAGAATAATGCAATTTTACACAATCAGATTAAGGGGTTTTATCTTATTTTTGTTATCTCATAAACCCTAGGTGCCCAAACACTAATGTGACTCACGTCTTCCGATCATCCCACACCGAAGTATATTCATACAATTGACTGACTTGATTTTTGGAGTGCACATGACCGCCTTTTTCACCACTGGAGAGTACAACGTGCTACTAACTGTTCGTCCAAGTGTACAGTAACTTATGTACATGGATGTGAGTGAAGTCGGAATATGTTGGCCACGTACTGGTGCAAAAATTGATTTCAACAACCATTAAAATCAAAATTGAAACATGTCAAAACTGCCATAACTTCCACCAAAATCATCATTAAAATCGCCCATCACCACGACCAAAATTATCATTAAGATTGTGTTTGATGGATATTATTGAGGAAAGAATGTATTTTAAATAATGATATGTTGAAAAATATATGGTTAGAAAGTAAGGAAGAGTTATTGATATAATGGAAAATATTATTTTATTAAAGAATGTGTGGTTGTAAATAAGTTTTGAAAGAATGTGTACCAAACACGGGCTAAATCGCCTCCACACCACCGCCACTACTAAAATCACCATTACGATATTGGTGCTTCAGATCTATAACATATGATCCAATTTAAAATTTTACAATTGATTATCTTATTATCTGAATTATAAGACCTCAATTACACACTGCAAAATGCTGCCCAAACTAAGAGAGGTGATAATGGACGTGAGGGTGTTTAAAATTATTAGGCATTTCAAAGTATTCCATTATATTGATGAAAAATAGTTGGCTTGAGCTATGCATCGCGGATCATCGACTAGTAATGATACAGCCTTCCTTAAGGTTAGGCTCACATCCGAGCTCAAACACTTCATCTGTGGATCGAGGTCTTCTTTAAGTTAAGAATTTCGATAAGAATTCCAAGTATGAAGCCAGATCATAATCGAAATTTCCATTTGTGGTTAACATTTCATTTTTGTCATTTAGTTGAAGTAATCTATATGGGTTTCTTGAGGACTCTGATTTTATAATTTAAAAGTGTGCCTTTTTACTGGATTTATATTGTAGATTTATTCAAAATAGTATCCTCATCATCAGTTCTTTCTGTATCCGTGGTGGTTGGAGGGGTAGTGGTTGGTGGCGGTGCTGTGGTGTGGTGATGAGATTGTGGTGGTTGTTAGCAGTGGCAGCAGGTGGGATGGAAGAAGATGACCTTTTTCTTTTCTGAAAAAGATATTTTTTCTGTTTTTTATATTATGATTTTTCTAACTAGATAATTGGTTGTTGTGACCTAATACTATGTGCATTTCACATACTTAGTGATTTTTAAGGTGTACGGTAGGTTGGAATAGTTTGATTTGACTTAATTTGTTCGAAAATATGAATAAAATTCCACATCGACTTGACAATTATGGATTTATAAGGAAAATAATTTTAGAACTTAGCCATGCAGAAAATACTAGATGAATCCTCAATTGCAGTTTAATGAAAAGTAATAAATTGATGAGCTAAGTATCATTTTTCACAAGGACTCAAAATCTAGTTCAAAACCAATTGAACCTAGCCCTACATCGATCACATGGATTTTAAAGTTGGGTTGATTTGCTGTCTACTTAAGACCAACTACTTTATAAAAATATGCTAAAAATTACTTAATGGTGGCTTTGGATATTAATCAAATTAAGATGTAATAAGTACTAGGAATCTGACTTTGCCAATTTAATCCCCTTTAACTTGTCAATTCCGCTATTGGTTCCAATTCATGCAATTTATGACAACTGGCGATCTCCATTTTCCCGACTATAATGTTAGAACTATTCTCATATCACTACAACAAAAATAGCCATTAGCAACATTTAAAAGGCAACATTTATCAATAAATGTTGCCAAAATGGTCTTTTGGCAACATTTTCGTAAGTGAATGTTGCCATAAGTTAATATAAATGAGCTTTAGCAACGTTTTTTTAAAAAATGTTGCGGTAGACCACTTTCCGCAACGTTTATTGAGTGTTGCGGAAGGCAACGTTTGGCAAACGTTGCGGAACCTTCCGCAACACTCAATAAACGTTGCGGAAGGTAGGCCTTCCGCAACGTTTGGCAAACGTTGCGGAATGATATATTAGCATTCATCCTACTTATCCTACTATACTAAAAGACTCTACCTCCCAAACACTATTGAAAACGTGTTGAGTCATAAGAAAGGAAATTATAACCTTCACGCTTTCACCTCTCCGTCTCTCTCTCTCCCCGACTCACTCCCACAGGCCACAGTCCCACCCAACTCCCGTCACGGAGGCCACTCGGTCTCTGAGCTCTCTCCGGAGCTCCGCCCGTCGGCCAAGGCACTCACTCACGGCTGGCACGCTTCACTGACTCACTGCGACGGAAGAAGCCCGCGACGGCCCCTGCTCTCGGCGGCTCCGGCCTCCAAACTCCGCTCCTCCGCCGACCGCCGTTCCAACTTCCAGTCTCCGACAGGCGAAGGCGACATCCGACTCTCCTGCCTGGACAGCCACAGCCTGGTAAGTTCCGGCTTCCTCAGTCTTCGGTCTTCCCTTCCTGTATAATGTATTTATGTTTATTATTGAGGGAAATGAATTGTGTATCTTATTGTGGTAAATTTATTGAGTTTATAATTGAGTTTCATGGTAATGATCAGCAAGTGAATTGATTTTGATTTAGGGATTTAGGGTTCTGATTTAGGGATTTAGGGTTCTGCTCGATTGCTTCTCTTGGATTAGTTCATGTTCTTCCTCGACCCGGTTCAAAGATGTAGATTATTTCTAGCTTGCCTGTCGATTTTTCAGAGGACCGTATAGAACGACCCTTGTGAGAATTGCTGCTGATTGCTTGACAATAGAAACAAATGGCATATATATTACACCTTTATTTAAGTTCTCCTTGTTAAAGTGATGGCCTACATTAACAAGTTTTGTTCTGTCGTGCTGTATTGGATTGAAAACTATATTAGTGGAAGGTTTGTTTTGTCAGAATACAACTCTAGTCCTATATGAGATGTACTCCCCGGGGCCCGCATTCTTTGCTGCGATAAAGGACGTACCTACTGGGTCGTTGAACACTCCGTTCACCGTGGTGGCAGCTGGAATGGCGAAATGGCTGGATATTTACAGCGGGGTTCTGATGGTTAGGGTTTTGCTCAGCTGGTTTCCTAATATTCCCTGGGACAGGCAGCCGTTATCTGCAAATCGGGACCTATGCGATCCGTACTTGAATCTTTTCAGGAATATAATGCCTCCAATTTTCGATACACTTGATGTTAGCCCACTTCTGGCATTTGCTGTTTTGGGGACTCTTGGCTCAATTCTAAATAGCAGCAGGGGAGCTTACTGAGTATTCTCTGAAGTTTTGTAGTTTGTGATAATGAAATTATGTGCATTTATTGGTCTATTTCGTTCGAGTGCAATAGTTTTATGATTACATAGAACTGGATAATTCAAAAGTCAATAACTTGAAATGCGTGATATGGCTATAAACATTTTGTATTTGTGGCAGGGGAAAGTCTATATCAGTTCATTTGATTTTGGGTTAGTTTGAATGAAGCTTCTCCCAAATTGGTTTATAATAACTTCAGAACAAAAAACCAGCTTAGGTCGTCTTGCCATTTGATTGTGGTTCTGTTTATATGAAGCTTCTCCCGAATTGGTTAAAAATAATGTTGGAACCATAAACCAGACAGTCTCGCCTTTTGATTTTGGTCCCTTTGTATTAAGCATCTCCGGGATTGGTTAAAAATTACTTAAGAACAATAACCCAGCTTAGACAGTCTCGGCATTTTGTTTTACTCTGTTTATAAGAAGCTTCTCCTGAATTGGTTAAACATAACATTGGAACAATAAACCAGCTCACAGTGTCACTCATTGTTGATGGGTTTCCATACACAGTCTTTAACGTGGTATAACCTTAAACTAGGTTTGGGGGTTATTCGCGAACTCCCATTATTTTAATTTCCATCTATTTAAGTTGTTTTCTTCTTTTGTTGGTAATGGTTACACTTTGTTTCACTCCTCTAGATGGAAGGGGGATTGCAAGCTAGCGTGTAAGGACACGTTTGTTTTCTTCTTGAAACAGGTACGTGTTGCTGATCCAACTTTTTTGGGTTATTTCATTGATAAAGGTGCCACTGCTGCTGCAAAAGTGGTCCGGAAGGTGAATAAATTTGTTATTGTCAGATTCAATCATGCGAACTTATTATGCCTGCTTTTCAACTGCACCAGGATGTTTTGCTGCAATTGAATCAGGTCGC